TGTGCCATAAATGTCTACGAATGCATCATTAAAGTTTTAAGAATAAAATTAAATAAAGATAATATTTTAAAAAATCAAGAAAAAGGGAATAAAATTGCCAGTAGTTCTACCTACAGAAGAATATAAGAAAAAAAAGTAAGAATAATTTTAGCAGTGAACTTCTGAGGTCTGCAACTTATTTTCCAATGGTCCAGTTTTTAAAAGTGTACGTTTACAAATACACGTGGAAATAAGGGACATTTTTAAAAGTTAATGTGAAAGTGTATGAACACTGTATGACTAAAATTTTCATAATAAAAATTTTGGGTTAAATGTGAAAAAATGAAGTTATAATGATAGATCTAAAAATAGAAATGACTGAACTAGAAGAAATTTAAAGGAAATTTATTCAATAAATTTGGAAACAGATTCTTTGAGAACAAAAATAGACAAAAGTCTTGGCTACTTTGAGATAAATAGTGACAAGGCAAAGTTAACATTAGGAAAAAGAAAAAGGTGTAACAAAAGATATGGAATTTACAAACTTTATCAAAACGACAAAAAAAAAAAAAACAACCCAAAAACCACTGACAAGATGTCAAGGAAAGGGACTTTCATCCACCGATAGTGGGAATGTAAACCAGTACAGTTATTTAGAAGAGAAGATGGAGGTCCTCAAAAAAAATAGTTTAAGAGGCTGGGACATGGCTCAAGTGGTAGAGCACCTGCCTAGCAAGCAAAGGCCCTGACTTCAAAGCCCGATACTGCAAAAAAAAAAAAGTTAAAGAAAGAGCTACAGAACTACCAAATGATCTGGCAATACCAATTTGGGTGTACAAATCCAATGGTAATGAAATCAGTAGGTCAAAAAGACATTTAAGACTCCATGTTTATTGTAAACTATTTCCAATAACCAAGATATGGAATCAACCTAGGTGTCCACTGATGAATGATGGGATAAAGAAAACATGGAACATAAACACAAGGGATCTTATTTAGCCATAAAAAGAATGAAATCCTGCCATTTGCTGTAACATGGATGGAACTGGAAGACACTATGTTAAGTAAAATAAGATAGGCACAGAAAGACAAATACCACATGTTCTCACTCATGTGTAGAGGGTACAAAGTTGATCTTAAAGATGTAGAGAATGGAATTGTGGCTACCAGAACCTGGAAAGGGGGTAAGAGTGTATAGAAAGGATGGTTTCTGGTACAAGGGTACAGCTGGGTAGGAGGACTGACTTCTTATGTTCTATAGAATAGTGAGAATAACTATGTTTGACAATTGACTATTTCAAAATACCTAGAAGATTTTGAGTGTTCCCCAAATAAGGAAGCAACAAATGTCTGAGGTGACAGATATGCCAATTATTCACCACACAGTGAATACAATTCAAAATATCACACTGTACCCCCAAAAATATTCAGAATTACTACATGTCAATTAAATATAAAATAACATTTAAAAAAATAGAACTAGGTACTGGGGATATAGCCCAGGGGTAGATGTATGCTAACATGTGCAAAGTTCTGGGTTTGATCTCAGCAAGACAAAAAATAAATTAATAAGCCAGGTGGTATGGCTCACACCTATAATCCCAGCTGCTGGGGAGGCAGAGGTCAAGAGGAACTCAGTTTTGAAGCCAGCTCAGGCAAGTAAGTTTGGGAGACCCTACCTTGAAAATACTCAACACAAAGAAGGGCTGGTGGAGGGGCTCAAGAGATAGAGCACCTGCTAGCAAGCCTGAGGCCCGAGTTCAAATAATAAATTAATAAAATAGTAAAAAAGTTAAATTAAGGGAGCAATTGTTGGTGCCCAGCATAACTGTGCCTGGCATATAACAAGCACTAAATAAAAACCAACTCTTGCTAGTTGGGTGTGATGGCTGACCTGTAGTCTTGCTACAGGATTACTTGAGCCCAGGAGTTCATGGTCATTCTAGGCACAATAGTGAGACCTTGTCTCCAACACAAAATCAAAAACAAAACTATTGTTTTTTTCTTTTTCTCTTTGTCTTGTCTTTCAGTGATTCACAGTGAGAGAATTATAAGCTGTGGTCACTGGAGTTGAAACATACACTTTTTTTTGGACCTAAGTAAAAGAAACTTCGAGCATAAAATAACTTACTTCCCTCCTTTAAGTCTCAATCAGACAAGTACAGCAGTACTGTACTTGGTAAGGGATCAATGAACACTATTTTTTTTTAACTATACTCTAGTTCTATGAAGAAAGACCCTTGCACTGATATTCACAAATTTAGAAAAACAATCACAATAATGCAAAATATTTACTATCACTAAACTTTACACTTTGAAAAATGGCTAAAATGGGACCTTTTATGTTATGGATATTTTAGCACAATAAAAAGCTTAAAACCCATACTAATTTGAAGAACCTCCAATTAAAAACTGATGACTTATTGCTATTTTGATTGGCTAATTACACCAAGCTACCCAAAATTCCAGATCAAGCCCAACTTACACATCAGCAGTGATGTGGGGGCCTCTGCTTACTGCTTACTAAGTAGGATTCTAGAGCTGGCAGAGGGGCTCAAGTGTAAGTACAGGGCCTGCCTAGCAAAATTAGTATTCTATTTACAAATTAGTATTCAAAAAAAATTAGTATTCTATTTACAAATTCATTTTTACTTCTTCCAGAACCTGGGGTTTCAAAATTATTGAATAGTTCTCTACTTACACCTTTATTCCTTGCATGTAGGTCACCAAACAATGGTTTATATTGTACAGATACGAGTAAAAACAAATACAGACGTTTTACTGTCACAGAGCTCCTAAGAATGTGACGGAACCTGTATGTGAAATATTTAATCACGGGACCCTAACATATCCTACAGCATACCGTTACTTAAAAGTTAATATTTTTAAAGTGATTGGATAGGACGGTTATTAAGGTAGACCTTGTCTCCACTTGGGGCAGTGGATGGCCTGTATCTAAGATCTAAGCCCCAGGATGTACTTAGCCATTTTGAGGACTGGATTGGTCCCAGCTCTGGGCAGCTGAACGAGCCTGAAGATTAAGAGTGGAGAACCAGACGAGCTTGCTGAGAGTTTCAGTGACCTTGGGGAGCGAGAGTGCTTTCTCCTCTCTCCCTCTCTCTTTTAACTAGGACAGAAGTGCACCATATCAGAGGAGTCAATACGAGAGTTAAAAGCAAAGCCTCTAGATTGCAAAGACTGTGTTTCATATATAAACAATTAAAGAGCTAAGGAATAACAGGGAAAAATAAAACACAAAGTTTTACACAAGTTCTCGTGGCTAGTGACATAGCACTTACCAAAGCAGACCAGTTTATTTCCAGTCAGATTAGTTCCTAGGAAATTAAATCAAGAAAGCAAATGCAGTAGAGGTTTGATTTTTCTGTCACCATCATATTCTGCTCATAATTTGCCATCTATAAGCAATAATTTGAATTTTATCACTTTTTAAAACATCTTCCTGTATGCTAATCAATGTTTCAGTTAACAGTTTTTTAAATGCCCTTCTTAGTGAAAGTAAAAATTTATTTCCGGCATTCTAAATCAGGTTATTTGGATCACTGAAAATTGCAGTTTTAGAAGAAGGTATGTTTGCCTTCTTCAAACCTGGATCAAAACAAGGCTAAAACCTAGCATAACCTGGGTGACTTTTCAGATACAGCTCTGCTTCTACATCCTAGTAATTTCAGGCAGTAGGAAGTGGAAAGAAACACGATGATATGAACAGCAAAACTCCACTAACTTACTGAAAGAAATTTGGCCCAAATACAGTGGCGAGGCTGTGAACACTCATGCGGTTCTGCACGTGGTGCCTGGCGACTTTTGTCAGGAACCGGCAGAGGTACTTGAGGAGGTGGTAGTGGGTGTCTGGCAGCGCTCTGATTAAGTCTCTTAAGCTATTCCCCCGAGCATCGTCTCTGCCATCTGGAAGAAAAGAGGGATAAAAATGTTCTCAGGCGTATTTCACAAGACAACAACAAAAGCACAGATATAATAAGTCCAACTCTTTTATTCAGAAAAAAAAAAACTCCTTGGAGACTGAGATAGGCATTGAGTTTTGGTATTTTTTTTAATGAAGAAGAATTACTACCTTATTCAAGAAATTCTGAAATCCCTGAGTGTTATTCAACACATAAAATGGGCTAGTGCTTCAATTTTATGTGTTCTTCCTGAAATTAAAATAATGATTAGGTTTTTTTAAGGTATAATGGAGTCTTCCATTTGATACGTGTCTTTGAGTTTGTAAAAAACAAAAATCTCTTGGTTGAATTTGTCACGAGGGACACTGAGCTTGGTGACCAGGGTACTATGTACAGAGAAGACTAAAGGAAACTTAATTCCTACACAGCCTGGTAAGCTTGACAGCTTTTCTCCTTGACCAAACTTTAGTCAATCTCCTCAGAGCAATTTTCCATGGAAGCTCCACCTTGGACATGTTCCCAAGAGCCGGTCTAGCAGAATCCTGCTAAGTTGGGCTACCCAGAATCCCCCACCTTTGCGATCTGATCACCCTCAGATATTAGCTACTGACCAAGTACTCAACTCCCAGCATCCTTAGAAGATGTCTCCTCATGCTGGCCTGCCTTTGGCAAGAATCCAATAAGGTAGGTTTAGCTACCATCCCCTCTTAACCCTGTTGCTTCCTCTTAGTAATTTTCTATCCACTATCCCAATTCTTCCCTATAAATTCCCACTTTTCATTGATTATTTCAAGCTGAGCCCAAACTCTGCCCCCTTCTGCAAAACCCCAATGCTGGCAGTAGACGCTATTACAATAGTGTTGAATAAAGTTCGCCTTACCCTTCTATAATAAGCATCAGAAAGAATAACTTTAATAAACTTTAGCTGTCACACACTAAGCTCCCCTATTGGAGGTTTTGCTGTCCATATTTTCAAATACTCTCTGTCAACTGCAGTCTGAAAAATTAAGTGAAAACTCCAGAAACAAACAATTTGTAAGTTTTATGTAACTTTGATCACACTATATTGACATAATTATCCTGTTTTATGACCAATGTTGTAAATCACTTACTGTGCCTAATTTATAAGATAAACTATATCACAGATATAAATGGGTAGGAAAAAACAGTGTTATGGGGCACTACTACTTGTACTACCTGTGGTTGCCGGCATCCACTGGAGGTCCTGGAATGCACTCCAATATATAAGGGGAGAGCATTGCTGTAGTTCAGAATATGTGACTCTCCTACAAAAATCTTGTATGCAGCCCAAAATGTGTGATTGTGCCATCAGAAGCACACAAATGAAATGTTTCCTGGAATTCTTGGGATTTATTTTGCCAATGCTTAATGTGGGAAAGTTGCTCACTTATGTAACTTTGTGTTCTGCTGTCTGTTAAGAGGAAAACACAAATCTTCCATAGTGACTAGCTCAGGGACAATAATAATATATCCCTTTAATGGACATTTAAGAGAATGAAAATTTAACTAAGATACATTATTATACAGATTAGATTCCTTAGCTAGATCAGCTGTAGTCAGTCAAGCAAGTAAGGAACACAAGAGTGAGGCAAATGAGATCCAAAGGAAGATGAGGCAGTTATGAAACACATGTGACCTAACTCAGTGCTGCGGACAGGAAGCGGGCCCACAGATGACACACAGAAAGTCACACATGGGGAACTGAGTGGCTGCAGAGCATAGGATGAGAATGCAACTCAGGATCTACTCCTGGGTGGGGACCCTGATTCTCTACCTCCTCCCTATGTGACCTAAGTGGGATTGTTTATGATGACATTATTTCCACTGCAGTATAACCCTTTTTTTTCTTTTCTTATTATATTATTATTATACTGAGGGTACGCTGTGACATTTACAACATTTCTTCCAATTTATCAATAGTTGAATGCACCCTTCCATCATTCCCCTTTATCCCTCCCTCCCCCCATTCCTGGAATAGTTTCAATAGGTCTCATCTTTCCATTTTCATACATGAGTACATAATATATCCACATATTCACCCTCTTCACCCTTTCCTTTATCCTCCCACTGGTACCAACCCCCACCCCTAGGGAGGAACTGTTTTACCTTCCTGTTCTCCATTTTTGGAAAAAGGTATTTGTGTTTGTTTAACATAGACCTAAAGATCCTTGTGACATTTCCATGTATTGTAACTCAAATTGGTTCATGCCTTCTGTTTTTGGCAGTATAATCTTAACTAGCAAGGAGACATAAGAAGTGGAAATCGTTAAGTTTGAGGAGGTTAAAAACAGAAGACTACCCATGGTTTTTAATAACTTTATAGTATAAAAAAAATAAAGAACTGTGAACCTGTTTTTCCTTTTCTCTTGTTTTATGGTGACTAACCCAAAATGAGCCTGGATGTTTTTATGGTATGCGCTACCTGTTTTAAAATCGTGATCCAATCCCCAGCATTTAAAGAAATAGGTAACTCAGTACTCCAGGTTCTTGATAATGTAATTGATAATGGGCTTTGGCCTTCTGGCTTTAAAATGAAACCTTACGCTCTCAGGCAGGTAATGTGTGAAGACCAAGGATCAAATAAAACCAATGTGCAGAACAGTTATACACCTATGACAATATGTTTAAAAAAGAAGTTAGCATTTCATCATTTACTTCCAATTTCTGAAAGATGATCAATAGTTCTTCAGGAAATAAAACTAACAAATAACGGGAAGGGAGACAGATACACTCAAAGAATTACATGCTGAACAAAATAGCATGAAACCCTTTGTGGCAATAATGGAAGAATCAATAAATATATTCTCAAAAGACAAAAGTAATTGAGAGGCCAAGCATAGTGGGACATTCCTGTAATCTTAAGACTCAGGAAGCTGAGGCAGGAGGATTTTGAGTTTGACGCCAACCTGATCTACATAGTAAGACCCTGTCTCAGAAAAGCCAAGCCAAACCAAAACAACAAACAAAGTAAAACATGAGTAACTCAAAAAAGAAATACAGACCTCTACCACTTCCTATACAAAAGCATTTCCATTTGCTACAATGGAAGACAGATTCATGGATTCACTCATTGGACATTAGTGGCTTTGACAGAAGTATACTCATGCTTGACCCTTAAATATTTATAATACACCTCCCAAATCTCTGTTCGAATATATTGACAGTAAAGACCGTAACTTATTAACATGACATTTCTTCTCACCTCATTTCCTGCTGATTAAGTATGTGCTAACTTACTGTGAATCCATAATTGGTACTATTTCCAGAAATATGTGATAAGTATCACTATTGCCACCAGCCGGCAGGAATCCTCTAGCCAAGACCTTCAGTGAGAATCATGACTGCTCAACACCTTCAAAGGTGGCTTATAGAGGAATGAGCATGGGCAGTACAAATGGGCTTATTAAGGAAGATGCTTCCGGACTGGCAGAGTGGCTCAAGTGGTACAGTGCCTGCCTAACAAGTGTGAGGCCCTGAGTTCAAACCCCAATACTGAAAAAGAACTAAGTTGCCTTCTGACACTTTTGAGTAACAAAAATTCAGGGTTCATGAGTTGAATTCTCCTTCTCCAAAACACTTGGGACCCTAAGTTAAGGTTTTTTTTTAAATTTGCATAACACGATGAGATGTCTCAGGAATAGGATCTGTGACTAAATATGAAAGTCACGTTTCATACCTTATACACAGCACTAGGTAATTTCATACAGTGCTCTGTATTGTATGTGTGTTTAGACTATAACCCAACACATGAAGTCACATGTGGAATTTTCCACTTCTGGCATTATAAGGTAACCAAAAAAATGCTGGATTTTGGAGCCTATCAAATTTTGGATTAAGGATTGTGCAACCTAGAATTACTTGATTAGTTGCATTACTTTTTGATTTGCTGGTATCAAAACACTCCTTTATTCATTTTTGTTCTGGTGTTTTTATTAGTAATTACAATGGCTTCCTTCAATGTCTCACAGCATAATAAGAAAGAGTTAGCAATGCTTCTCTTTTGATGTACATTGATACATAATTGACATTTATTGTATATTCCATATGAGGTTTATCAAATACTTTCTGTGTCTGACATTCTCCAACACCAAGACACAGCACTAAACATAGCAAAATTCATGCTTTTATGAAACTTTCTAATGGAGGGGAAGACAGAAGAGAATGAAATCAATTAAAAATATATATGCAAAGTAGTTTCGTGTAAGTGCTAAGAAGAACATAAAGGAGAGGAAGGAGATAAGCAGGGTTGTGCAGGAACATTGTCACAGGCCTACTGAGAATGGGACACTTAAGCAGAGCTCAAGAGAAGAGAAAGTAAATCTAGGTAGAGGACACGGCAAGTGCCAAGGCCCTGAGGTAGGTTTTGAGCCTGGTGGTCAGAGAGAGAAGAATAGCAAGGGATAAAATCAAGAAGTGATTCTTAGGTTAAGGGAAGATCATTATAGCCTTATTATAAGCCAGTCATATTTTTTTCCCTGAGTGAGGATTTAGGGCTATAGAGACAGACAATCTGTTTTAAAGGATGTCTTCAGCTGCTGCACTAAGCCTAGACTACACCAGAAAGCAGGGAGACTATAAGTGAAAAATACAAGTAGGAAATACTCATTCAGGGCTGACAGTGTGGCTCAAGAGGTGCATTTTACTTGCCTAGCAAGCATGAGGCCCTGAGTTCAAACTCCAGTGCCACCAAAAAAAAAAAAAAAAAAAAGGTCCCTGTCCCTGAGTCTGAGTTCAAGCATCTTGTGAGACCCCCACCCCCAAAGCCTTGCATATCAAGAAATCATTTTAATAGAGTGATACATGTTTTTAAGACACAGGAACATGAATTAGTGTAGGAATAAAGTGAGCTCCACCCCATAAATAAATTTTAAAGAAATGTGGAACAACTGGTTCATTTACGGAACTATCTGGTGTAGACATTATGCAGGAATTAGACAGCAAACAGTACTTAAATGATAAGAAAAGAACCATTGGAAGCTGTAT